GATTGTTGCACATACTGCCTTTTGCTGTTTTTTTTCTTTTAATTCCAAGGAGTCTCATGATAACACTAGTAATCCACAATTGCATTCTTATTTTCTTTCATATATATCTGACTAGGTTTTGCTCGCGATTTCGTCCGCGTGAATTTAAAATAAATAAAAACAGCCATTGGTAACTTAGCTCTAGATGATGAAAGAATTTTTGAAGTCGGTTCAGTAGTCTTTGAGTTATTTCAATACTTATGTTAGATATAGATAATACAAAACATAAGTTATTTTAATCCATTAAAGTTTATTAATGTTCCTGCTAAAAGTTGTTTACATTGACGATAAGGTATAAAACAATCTACTGTGAAGCGTATTCGCTTCTCTATGTATGTTAACTTCACCTATATTTTTTTTTAATTTCAAGATACATAAGATTAATTTACCGCAACTTTAATTAGTATGGAAGTTTCCTGATTTCTATCTATCATAAGTTACTATCGACTCTAGTCTAGTCAGTATCAGATATCCGTTGGTTTTCATTGAAACACCTCTGTAAAGGAATATTGTTATCTTATTTCTTTCAACAAGGATGAAAGGTATGACAATATTTAATATATTTAATAGGAAACCCACGTTAAATCGATTTCACGACTCAGTGACATTGCGGTGACATAGCTTGCGGCGTCAATTGGTAAATTAACGTAACAACCGGAATGAAACCATTGATATACGGTATAAATGACAAACGGGGCTAAGAATAAAATAACATGTAAAAAAATATAGCATAGATGGTTCTTGGTATAACTCTATTTAGATCTTTTATTTAAGTTATGTCATCAGCACCAAAATAGATATTTGTAAGTCAAATATTTTTAAGACTTCCTTGCGTCGACCTTGTATCTTTACTGTATATAATAACTTTTGTTAGAAATTAACTTAAATAACCTTATTTATTTAGGGTACCTGACTATTTTTAGGCTTCGAGGCCCTCAATTGCGACGCTGATGATGACTAGATTAATCTTTCAAATCATGACCGACAAGAGACAACAATATTATTGTTAATTTTTATGTTGCCCCGATAACGATTTTGCTCCGTCTAATACTAATGTTTCCATTCTAATAATTGAGATAATTCAAGTAATCTATAATCTGTATAATTTTAGTTTTAGTAACAAGTTAGTTAAAATATGTTTATGTCACTAACTTCTCGGAGTTTGCGACCCCTGTAAATGTTAATTTAATTAGCGTAAAATGTTGTATTACAACACGTTAACAATTAAAAAACAAAACGATTTTGCGCGGTTGAAAGTGTATCTTTTGTGATGGAAAGTGAACGGTCCATGTTTTAGATTTATTTTACTCGTAATATAGTGTTACGCTATTTGATACGTTTAATGTATCTTCTGCTCTTGTTATGTAAATATAATATTTATTTAAACCGTTAAAATGAAGTAACGTTTGTTTTGCTTTGGTTTTTATGAGATATATTTATTTACGAACGAAATGTTTCCTCCTAACTGTGAAAAAAAGTAAATAACTTACATAATTAAGCCCCTTTAATTTGCATTCTACTGTTTTCGCATATAATAAGGAGATTATTGTAAATTATCAAGAAGTGTTTTTGTTACTTTACAGTACTTTAAATGAATTCGTAATCATGTTATAGATACTGCATTAAACTACATATATCTATAAATAACATTATGTATAAGGCAAAGGTATTCGTGTTGGCGGACCTATGTCTTGTTTAACGACGATCTTTGTCGCGTTAGCATAATAATTAGATAGATTCCGTTCATGGAATAACAAAACAAACACGTCATAAATACGTTCTTGGTATATATGAGTACATTTGAAAAATCTTAGCGTATTCCTTTGCCGTGATATTTGTATTAATTCTTATTGTCTTTCTTTTCAATTCTCTTTGATTGGATAGAGACAACGATATGTTTTGATTCAAGTTTTGGCATTTAACTATACCGGTTAGTCCTTAATGCGATATTTTTTTTTAAATACACGTAACTTATAGCATTTAGATACAAAATGGCTTAAGCTTTTACTGTTATTACCGTTGATTCGTTTTTAAAAATATCAAATACCATTAAAACTCGCCTTTCCCATTAATTCCTTATCTATTTCGAGTATATATAATTCAACAATGCTATAAATGTATGTTACTGTATACCGATTCAGTGGCTAGATTTGTGTGGTCAACGCCACCTTCGTCGCAGTTACTGTAGCAGGTCCCGAGCCGCCTACAGGCCGGCATTCCGATCCGAGTCACAATGCCCTCCCGGGGAATTCGAAATATTTACAATCGAATACCCGACGGTTGATCGAGAAAGTTCAATGGTATCCGAAATATTGCGTATAATGCGGCTTTTATATCAGGGGTTGTAAGTTTTATGGCAAATAATCTATCTTAAGATTTGACTGCTACTTTTTTATTTTACGAAATGTTACACAAGTGTCTGTTTTTGTTTTAATCACTTAATGACTCTGAGGGCGGCAGTAAGTTATTTATTTTAATAAATGGGGAAATGTAATAGATAACAGTGATGAAAATTAATTTCAATAGTTATTATGAAGACTTATGATTAAAAGTAAAATCTAGAAGTTGACATTGGTTGACGTAATTTTGCTATTTTCGATCAAACGTCCTTGGCTACCCTAAATCGGCAGGCTACGCATAATGCGCCAATCAGCTGTTAGCTAACACGTGGGCGACCAACTTGACCCGAAATCTTATCAAAACTCGTATAAGACGATTAAGAAACTTAGTCGAAATAATTTCGACACATCCACACGTATTGCCATTGTCTGCTGCTGGCAACATTCCGATTTAAATAACCAGTTTCAACGTCTCGGAATATCAAATAAAGGTGGCAACGGTTTTCTGAATGAAATTCATATCTGGCGTGGGACTATTACGAAACTTTTTACTTCTAGAAATTTCAATTACATTTCGGACAAAAAAGTACAAATATAAGAATTCGTGATAGAATCTTATATCTTACTAATATTATGTGAAAGTTAAGATGGATGGATGGATGTTTGTTATAGTTTGTAGCCTAAACGGCTAAACGGATGTCAATGAAATTTGGCATAGGCGATAAGGATAGTCTGGAAGAACACATACGCCTATTCACTTTTTTATAATTCCACGCGGACGGAATCGCGGGGGAAAGCTATATGCTATAAATACAAGGTGCAAAAATCACATTACATACGTGAAAAGAGACTTGATAGATTTATTACCGACAGGATCACTGAGCTACAGATGCCAATTTTTTTTTAAAGAGCTAAATGTGGACCTTTAAAAGTCATCTTTTGGTTACGCTATTTGGTAATATCTTTTTCAAAAGGGTCTAAGACAAATCTCTTTTAATGAACATTCAGAGAATTGATGTTATGTGTGTGCACGAAGCGGTCTGATACATCTATGTATGAATAATATTAATACCAGTAACGGGATCAATGTTTGCTTTCACTCGATATCGGAGATGGCTCGATACCGCCAGACACGGTAACTCGAGCCTGCGTGCAGCCCGCGGCAACATCGAAAGCCCCCCATGTAAAAAACCTCGCAAGTCGCAAGTGAGAGTTGTTTGCCCGCAAAGTTCAACGAGTGTCGCAAGTTTTGTGGCGCGAAACTTTTAATTTTTAAATGCCTTTGGGCTTATGGTTGTTTTAAGTTAGATGTTAATGAAAGTTTTTTAGCTACATAAGCTACTTTTTTGTTAAATTTGTCACTATATCTATTTCATTTCCTTGTTAAAATTACATTATAATTGATATGTGATCATGTGATTTTTGCAACAGATTTACACGCGGTAAAAGATTAAGAATAAAAATACAGATGAATTGATAACCTTTTGGGAAATCTGTTAAAAAACTCAATCTTATGCTGTTTGTAATCGAATTTATTTATATTTATAATCTTGGGAAGTACTTCAAACAATTAAACTTGTTGTAATGACGTTCATATTACAGCATACGCGCATCCTTGCGATGGCAAGGACGCCCGGTCTGCCATCTTGTTGTTGACCTTGAAGCAGTTAGCGCCACGGAGGACGGACGCGAAACCTGTCTTTATGGTTTATCTCTTTTTGTTCTGATGACTGCGTTTTACTCTGATATGTCCTTGATCCCGTTCGCAAGGCCGTTCGTATTTATTTTGTTGTTGGATTTTAGGATTCACTTTTTCTTATTGATTTTCACAATATATTCTTAGAAAGACAGTGATAGAAAATTTGAAGGTATTAACCTTTTACATTATGTTGTAAAATCAGTTCCAAAGCAACCACCGTTTTATTACCACATATACATTACACATAGTAAATATAATTACAATAATGAATACGCCTGTATGAAGAAAAGGTTATAAAACAAAGACTTATATTACATTTATAAAAAATTAAAAGCTCAAAGTGTGTCTCTTATTAAAAAATGTAATAACCTGCCTCGGTGTATGAGGTCATGAATTATAAATTGTGACCGCGCACTCGGTCCCCTTTATACCTTGTTATACCGGAGCTATTCAAGCGAAGTTTCTATTTTCATTAAGAAATTAATTGAATAAATGTCTGCCATCATTTTTTTGCTTCTGGGGTAGACAGTTTTATGTGAAACTCAAGTATCGAAACGCGTTAACTACTTCACGTGTTAGCCAACCCTTACCAGAATCTCCAAGGAATTTTATGCAACTTGTAATGAATGACTTATTGAGAGTCATTAATTGATCATTAATGGACGGTTTCCCATGAATGTTTAACCACTCTTGATGGGTATGGTTCGATAACTCCATGAAATGCGTTTATAAACTACCTGAGTGTTTTTCCTTTTTAAAAATAGGTAAACCGAACACTAATGAATTAATAGATGATAAATGGAAACTTCAGAAACCCAGAATAAGGGTATCTCTTATTTTACATGAGAAATGTATATCAAGTCGGGAGTTTAAGTAATGTTATTGATGGAAATGTGTTTGACATGCGTTTTCATTGTCTGCAGATCAAGTTGGAGACGGTGTTCGGGCTGACGGTGAGCAGTAACGCGGCTCTCGACTGCGACCCTAATACTGAAGTCGTCGCATATCCTGCAGGGTGAGTTTGTGTAGTTTAATGTCAATTAACACTGTTGAAATACTTGTTTATAAGTTCTGTGTTACTTCTGTGTTTTGTTTTTGTCATGTTTTAATCATCAGCTTCATAGTTCTAGTATACTCTTTCGAGTTCTAGTCGCAGTCAAATTAACTTCAGTCGTTTTTAACCATACTGTATACATACGACAATTTTAATGTCTGACATAATGTACTATGTATAAACATGCTATTAGAATGAATATTGATATATTTTGTGAAGTTGTAAAGTCCTTGATTGCGTTCGTGTTCAACTCTGTGAACTTATTTATTATGTTGTTATTTCCAGCGATATCGTTGTTGTATTTTAAAGTTCGTACAGGTCAGGAGGTCGGATCTAGGTTAAGATTGTATTGCGAGCGTTAAGTACTGGCGAGCGTATCGCAATGCAAATTTGACGGATAGAGCGATAGTACCACTTGAAAAATTTTAATTCACTTTTTTATTCGTATTGTTAATGATAAATGCTGCTATAGCAGGCTATAGAAGAATTAATAGTGGTCAATTTTCCTCGATATTAGAATCTTTATGTGAAATCTTTTGGATTAGATGTAACCTATGTTGTAATTTTTAAATACAAAATGGATGTTTATAAGCAATTATATTGAAGTAACTACAAGGTTTCCTATCATTTCAATTCATTTCCAGACCTCATAAATTGTCTTCCGCAGGTGGTGGAAGTGAACGCGATTCAGGAAATTACTTTCTTGTAGTTTACTTATCGCTCACGGTATTGCTTTTTCTTTAGTTTGTTTAAGCTTGATTTCCACTGGAATAGTAATTTTACAATGAATATATTAAGACCTTTCCCCTTATCTTTACTACTTTAACATTTTGGAACCAAAAAATATACATTATATTATAGGATTCTATGATTTAATAAGTGGTATAATTATCTAAATACCTATTCAGATATCGACAATAAAACGATGAGGACGTAACCACAGACCGAAGTAGGATTCCATTGTGGTCGTTGACCATGCCCAGCATAATAATGATGTAATGTACGGCCATTCTCTCACACGTCCGGCGATGCATACGTCATAGTCGGACTCTACGCCTAAAGCTCATGCTAAAGTCGACTTTGATAGATAACTATACCTAATCGATCAGTTACGTCTTCAATGAGTCAATTAAACGTAATGATCCTTTGCAATCCTTAATAGACTCGACTTAATTTAAAGAAACGTCTAGAACATTCAAAATGAACCTGCATTTTCTTAACTGCATAAAGTTGTGTTGGAGGTATTGGAAAAGTGAATGGTATTTCCATAAAAGGAATTTCGGACCGCATAAGGACCTCTTGATAAACACTCGGTTTAACTCTGTTTTTTTTCGTACAAAGCAATAAAAAAAAATACAATATAGGAGACGTTTTATTAAATTCATACAAATGTAATAGAGTGCATAAATACCCACACCTTTCGTGCTAGGGTGAAAATATATTCATCATAACGCAGTAAAGGTGTGGCCCTCGGACGGGGTGCGGTGTGGGCGAGCCCTAAATCGATACATTTTAAACTCAACATAGACACCACTAGTTTCTGTATATTGTCCCTTCTAATGCACGCAGGTGAAAGGAAAATATAGACAGATATCGTTTGAAATGTACTTTAAATTCTCGTTAGTGCCCGTTTTGGATCCGCGTCGGCGTATGAGGCCTTTAAAATGTTGCTAGTTAAAATGTTTGATATTTTTGCCAATTTTAGCTTAAATGTTTTAGTTTTGGATTATATGATTAGGTTCGTATTTAGGCGAGTTATTGATCAATGAAAGCAATGTATTGAAATTTTGTATAGTATTATATTTCCAAGACAGCCTTAAAGGTAGCCTACGATATTCTTCTTCCGGTAATGATTTCTAATAGCCAGTGGAAATAAATACACGCTGATTTTATACTGTTTTTTTTTTTAGTCTAAAAATCAATTGATGTTATTTCTGCAAAGCTATTTATAGATCGCATTACATGTACAACTTTGTACAATCGTAAACTGCGAGACAGTGAAAAGTGTCGCCGACTGCTGCGGTGCGTCGACCCCATGTCTGTCGGACTGTGCCCACTCGGTTTCCGTTTCCGCAACTTGGCATTGTTTACCGCCTAACGGGACGACTACGAGACGACACGAGCGTGACAAGATGTTTTTATACGTTAACTGTATTACATGTAATTTTTGGGTTTATTAAAATTAGCTATGTGAGTACGTTGTGATACTTTTTATATACACGACTGTGCTATGCTAGAGTGCATTGATAATTTTCCATGTGCTAAAACCATATAATACGTAAAATTGTTGGGCTACTTGTTTCATTTCCTATTGATGGCGATATAATATCTTGAAAACCTGTACCAAAGGCAGAAAAATGATGAACGTCTATCTATAGTATCTAGTCTTCCTAGTACATTTTATGATCATTAAAAAGTTTGTATAAATAAAGAATTAAGAAAAGGATTTAATGAAGATTTAGCAATTGTATATTTTTGTATACTGCTTGATGACTAAGCGTCTCGTTTCGTTGCTGCGGTACGCCGGCAGCCGTCAGCCGTCAGTCGACAACCGCCGACGGTCACAGTTCAGTGCCGACGACATCTGCCTTAAAACGATTGCCATTTTAATTAAGATTTTATTCAAGGCAATGTGTGTGTAAAAGACCAAACCCTCTGCATAAGATAATCCGAAATTAGTAGCACTTGAATTTCTTAAAAGAACTCTATTCCGTTTCTTGCATGTTTTGCTATCGGTATTTAATTACTTTAGTAAACACATATGTTTAATAAGACAATACACATTTGATAACTATATTAGATTCCAAATATTATCGTATGTTTGTCATATAGTTACTCAATAATCAGCTTCGGTGTAATGTCCTCGCAACATTAATGTACACAGCGGCTCAAGGCATTCGCGGCCGTGAGAAAGGCCGCGTCTACGTTAACTGCTCATACATACGAATAAGGTTTAAATTTACCATTAGATGCCGTGACATTGACGGGCGGAGCGATAAGCGGAAACCTCGCACTTGTTTCCGGCCCTCACTAGGGACCTTTGCTTCTGATCAGCGTTTTATGAATAAAAATGCTTACTACATTGCCATAACTTATTTCTGTGTCATGTATAAATTAGTATTTAAAATAAATTCAATTTTCCCTAATGTTAGATATCTTATTGCAAAACGCGTCAGGCCATCACTATGGTCTATCCCTGCGAATCCCGTAAACGTCCCATAGTAAGCCTATTGTCAATATGCAGCCATGCGCGTGCCTCACGACGGTATCGTTTAGTATGCTAACCGCGGACAAACTATACGCGACTGCTTTTCTATGATTTACTCTTTGATGTGTTAAATTATCCTGGATTTACCAATTGTTCAAGTTAACTTTAACTATAAAATAACGTTTGTTATTTCCAGATGTACGGTGGTGTTGTACAACGTGCGCAAGAACCGTCAGTCGCACGTGCTGAACGCGTCGCGCAAGAGCGTCACGTGCGTTGCGTTCTCGCCGGACGGCCGCTACCTCGCCACGGGGGAGTGTGGACACGCGCCCGCTGTCAGGGTATGGGATCTGCAGGTATGTAGTTTTGTATTAAAAATGTAGGCGTTTGCGTATTGCAACTGATTTGTGATGTGGTCTATTGATTTATGCAAAGCACCGATTCTTTGTCTTTAAAAGAAAACATAGAGAAGAATTGAAAAAATAATTGGTATATAATACAAATGAAATTTTAGTTAATTAAAGTCTAACGCCGCCTTTCGCCGATAGATGCCATTGCATATAGTAAACAACTATTCGAATGCCATCTAGTGGCAAGTAGTTTAAACTCGACTATCACATTGTGAGTTATTTTTCAATTTTTAATACGAACTACTTAATTTTTGGTAAATGAGTCATATTTATTGTTAAAATATATTTTTGCAGGATCCATCAGCGTCAGGAGCAGTGCAGATCGCGGAGTTCCCTGGACACACGCATGGCGTTAATTGTGTCGTAAGTATAGAGCGTATAAGCCTTCTTATACTCGACATTTTATTACCTATTTTAAATTTAAGAATGTAATTGAATAGAAGTTGTATGCTTGTCATTAAAAGATGCATATTGAAAGTTTTTGAATAAATCATGTGTTTTACTGGCATATTATTAGCTTTTTGGACTATACAATTAATTTTATGAAGAGAAATTTAAGTAAGATAATAAATAAAAGTGTATGTAATTATGTATAATATTAACTAAAGTGAGTTTTTAAAATGATCAATTTTTTAAATAAAAAAATACATAAAAGCGCAAACTGTAAAAGAAATAATTAGCAATGAAAATGCAAAAATAACTGATAAAGGTAATAAATTAATGTTTTTGAAATGTTTTAATTTCAGGCTTTTTCTACATCGTCCAAGTATCTAGTCTCGGTTGGTTCCCAACATGACATGATAGTCAATGTCTGGGACTGGCGTGCCAACCTCAAACTTGCTAGTAATAAGGTAAATACAATATAGCTAAAATATATATATATTTCTTCGAAAATAAAACTTTGAACTTCCTTGAGAAGACAAATAAATAATAAGTTTTATTGTACAAATTTGTATAATGTACTGTTGAAGTTAATTTTCAGTAATAGTATTTTCTTTTATATTGTGATATTTTTATCATAGTATGTTTGTGTATTAATGTTGCTTACATATAATTTCCAGGTTTCGTCTCGAGTGAAGGCGGTTAGTTTCTCAGAGAGCGGGAACTATTTCGTGACAGTGGGCTTCAGACATGTCAAGTTTTGGTATCTGGAATATTCGAGAAATGCCAAGGTGAGATAACTCACCACTATTAAAGTAAATTATATAGTGTGTCGTAAGTGTAGGGCTTTTTAGTAAAAAAGAGAGTTATTCAAATACATACTGTGACTGCTCACATCCTACACAACTAAGTGTATGTTTACGCTTTATTATAATCATTGTAGATAGGTAAAAAAAAACTGTTATGTAATACAAATTAATTCAAAGTTAAATTTTAATTTCATTATTAAACTATTTAGGAGTGAAACATTTTTGCGTATGTAGTTTTTCATGTATGCGGTTTATTATAAGCTATGAAGTGCAATTGTGACCGCTTGTGGCCTAAACGAATTAACCGATGTCAATGAAATATACGAGTTACATTTTAAAGGATTTCTAGTGTTTAAATCTATACTAATGTTATAAAGAAGGAAGATTTGTATTTTTGTTTGTATTGAAATAACTGAAAAAGTACTAGGCTGATTTCAAAAATTCTTTCACCGTTAAAATGCTACGTTTTCGCTGAGTAACATTGGCTTTTTTTTTAAATTTCATGTAGGCAAAGTCGTGAACAGCTAATTAATAGTATTTTTGTACGTTACAGTTCAAGGAGCCAGTGCCGCTGATGGGCAGGTCTGCTATCCTGGGCGAGCAGAAGGACAACGAGTTCTGTGACGTGGTGTGCGGGCGCGGGGAGGCGGCCGACAGCACCTACGCCATAACACGCGGAGGGCTGCTCTGCGAGTTCAACAGCCGTCGGCTACTCGATAAATGGGTCGAGTTACGGGTAATTTATTTATTAAATCTAAAAAAAAATCATATAGCTATGTTTGCGTACTTGCTGCCATTAAATGTCTACGTCTATGCCAAGTTTCATCTAAATCTGATTTAGGCTACAAACTAACAAACATCTAAACTTTCGCATTTATATTACTAGTAATTAAGATGGTTTTATCTAAATGAATTGAATTTGTCTACTAAGGAAATACATTCGTATATTATTAATGATTTTATTTGGTTTATTAGTACAAATTTAGCTTAATCTTAGTTCATTCTTAAGCTTTTTTTTATACCGCGTTTATTTGTCAGTCTGTAAGTTTTTAAATCTATGTATAACGTGTTTCAGACGACGTCAGCCAACTGTATGGCGATCGGGTCTAATTACATCTTCGTGGGTTGTGCGGAGGGCATCGTGCGATGCTTCGCGCCGGACTCGCTGCGCTACGTCACGACGTTGCCGCGCACGCACTACCTCGGCGTGGACGTCGCACAGGGAGTCAACATCAAGTTAGTGACATATCTACATACAAATTTACTGACAATACGTTAATGGGATCGTTTCACGCATTTTAGATTTATTTCTTCATCAAACAAAACATCAGACAATGACCTTTATTGCCCATCGATTTATTTTCAAAACTGTTTTACCAACATGTCTTTTTTTAACAAGGTTGTGTTTACTTTGTGTGACTAGAGAAGTCTAAAAAGTATAAGTTTCGTATGTTTGTTAGAATATTCGTAGATGCGTACATCTGATCTTAATCCAATGACATTATACATTTGTTTTATGTTTCTTGCTTATTATTACGATGTTTATATTAATACTCGCTTTCGCCCGTGACTCCGTTCGCGTAGAATAAAAAAATGAAAACAAAAGTAAGTGTGCCTTTGTGTTCCTTCAGACTATCATCTACATCTATACCTAATTTCATCTAAATCCGTTCAGCCAACAAAATCTAAGAAATATCCGTCCATCCATCCAACCATCTAAACGTTGACATCTATACTAATATAATAAAGCGTAAACACACACTACTTTGTGGCGTTGGAAGTCAGCAATCACAGCATATTTTTGAATAATTCTTTCTTCAATAAAAAGCCTTACAGTTACGACATGCTTTAGGCTATGTATTTTCACGCTGTTAAACTTAGGGGGTAAATGAATTTGAAAAATAACCTTCATGTGGGAAGCATCATTAATATAGTAACGATAATTTTGACATTTGCAATTGAGTAGCAAGTAGAAAGCAATAAAATGTAGTTTTTATAATGCCATGCGGATGAAGCCGCACGGGTCCAGATAGTTTATAATATTAGCATGATAGGTTAAATGAAAGTGTTATTTGTTCTCAGCCACATGTTCTCGCAGCCGGGCAACGCGCGCTACCCGGACGCGATCGCGCTCACATACGACGAACGCAACCACAAGCTGACGTGCGTCTACAACGACCACAGCCTCTACGTGTGGGACGTACGAGACATCAAGCGGGTACGCACGCGGACACAAATACATATAAACTATTGAGTACACAATAGTTAGGTTAATTATCCCGAGACTCGGACATGACTCGAACAGTTCAAACAGGACAGTACAGACTATTCACACTAAAAAAGTCCCTTATTGACAATTTATCAACTGTAAGTGCTACAGTCTGTGTCAATTTGTTTAAGTTGTCATTGCTATGTAAGCGTCCTGCATGAGCGTCGCCAGCCATGATCTAAGTATAGTCGGGACTCCTAGGACTCCTAGACTAGTGTCCTAGGAGAGGGCATCTACCATTTATATATTCTTATTGGAAGAAGATTTGATTTTATATTTCGATTCTCCCCTATGGCGACGCCCATGTGTTCGGTCTTAATCGCTTATGCTTAATTTCATGATGGAATGATTGTTTTTTGTATGTATGATTTATTGTCTGTAGGTGGGAAAGTCCCATTCGGCGCTGTACCACTCTGCGTGCATCTGGGGCGTGGATATGGTGTGTGGGGGCGTGTCCGGGGAGGGGGCGGGGGCGGGGCTGGCGCCGGGCCGCTTCCTCACCTGCTCCAGCGACGATACCGTGCGCGTGTGGAGCCTGCAGCCCACAGGACCTAATATATACAGCAATGTGAGTAAACATGTTTATATTTTACTTTTTACTAATATATGAATGAATAGATGTTTGTTTAAAGGTATCTCCGATTCGGCTCAACGGATTTCGATGAAATTTGGTGCAGGATTTTTCTTGTTTCGCTCGTCGGAGTTGAGTTTGTACGCAACGTCTGTAATAAATATTTTTTATGTTTGTGACGTTGTACAATTCAATTTCAAGCGAGAGGATTATCCCAACTTTCGAAGGTTTGACTGTCATATTTAAAAATGTTTTTCTTAATATGTCTCTAATTTTGTTATTTCAGGAATTAAATAAAATAGTATACATAGACCCCGAGCTGAAGTTTCTAAAGGACGTTGACCTGACGGCCACCAGCGATAGAGACAAGTCAAAAAGCTATGATGATAAAATCGGTGTCAGGTAAATTAAACAATACATTTATCACTTATTTAACTTGACCAAAATATAAAAAAACTTTTAGGAACCTGTCTAGTGTGATTATATGCTGTCAAGACATCCATATTAAGATATTAATATAAAGAGGAAAGATTTGTATTTTAAACTACTGAATCGATTTCTACATTTTGTTCCATTAGATGGACATGTGTCTTCTCGTCCCCTAAAGATTTTAAAAATTACTAAGAATAAGGCCATACCCACCCCCCTCCGTAGTATCCCAAATCATATTTTTTCTAAAATTGTAAATATTTTAATGCATATTTCTTATATTTGCAGTATTTGTTATTATGAATGATTTTGGTGTCCCAGATGCGTGCGCGTGTCGCCGTGCGGGCGGCACGTGGCGGCGGGCGACCGCGCGGGCAACGTGTGGGTGCACTCCGCGGAGGGCGCGCCGCTGCACACGCTGGAGGCGCACGACGCGGAGGTGCTCTGTCTGGAGTACTCCGCCAACCCGCGCCTGCTCGCCTCCGCCTCCAGGGACCGCCTGGTGCACGTCTTCTTAGTCGATAGGGTAAATACACTCAATATGAATCATTTTCCCTACATAAATATATAAGAAAACAAGTAAATATGAATCAACTATCATCATTAGTTTCTCTTGTATTGTTTATAGGCGTTTTTGATTACCTTGGTGTTGAGAAATAAGAACAAAAGACAAGGAATGAATGATATTGAATGACAATAACATAGTAACTGAATGACTGCGATCAAAAGAAAAGGGAAAAATTACAGTAATTGCTAGTTTTAAATGAAAATTAAAGATCGCCTGATGATAAATAACAGACAATGATAATAAATTAATGACGATAAATTAATTACTGAACATATCAATCAATTTTTAAATCTATAATGATGGACTGGCCGAATGAATGAAGTGTATGTGTGTTTTATTTAAAAGAACTGAATTATACTGTAGATAGTTGTTTAAATAAATGTGTGACTTTATCCAGGGTTACCAGATCCTGCAGACGTTGGACGAGCACTCCTCCTCGATCACGGCGGTGCGGTTCCTCAGCTCCAGCGCCGGCCTGCAGATGGTCTCCTGTGGAGCTGACAAGACCATACTCTTTAGGCAACTCAAAACTGTAAGACAGTAATTCCTTTTTAATGTTTTTTATACAGTACAAGGTAACAAACCAGCTAGCGGACATTTGATTCGCCGAAACAGCGAAGTAACAGATGCGTTGCCTACTTTAATAGACAGAGGAAGGGACATTAAGAAGATATTTTCTCCTCTGCTAAATCTACGACACTAATACATGTTAAGAAAGTGTCCTTAATCTTAAATTGTTTTAAATCACTTTAGTCTTAAATTGCTTACTAACTTTCGCGTCTTCGTCCCCGTGAAATAAATAAAAAACAAAGTCTATGTGTTCTTTCCGCCTATCCTCTAGATTTATGCCAAATTTCATCGAAATTGATTCAGCGTAGGCTACAAACACTAACAAACATCCATTTAAACTTTCGCATTTATAATATTAGTAAGATATGTGCATAATGTGGTTACAGACTCAGGACGGCAGTTACCAATTCGCCCGAGGTCAGAACGTGTCGGGTCGGACCACGCTATACGACATGGAGGTGGACGCGGGCGGCCGACATATACTTACAGCTTGTCAGGTAAAACACAATTTTAATCCTTTATTTACTTAAGATTTTGCACTCGCAGAAACTTCACGTCACACAGAGCGTCGGTGGCTCAGTGGTTTGAACACTTGACTTGTAATCTACAGGTCTTGGGTTCGAATCCCGCCATGTACCAATGTGATTTTCGATTTTTCGAATTTTCATATGTACATTATTTAACCGACGTTCTTACGGTGAAGGAAAACATCGTGATGCAACCTGCACATATCGGCGAAGAAATTCAAATATATGTGTGAAGTCGACCAACCCGCACTTGGCCAGCGTGGTTGACTATGGCCTAGTCACCCCGTATTAGGGTAGGGTCCGAGCCCCTCGGTGGGGACGTATAAAGAGCTGGTGATGATGATGATGATGAGACACTTCACACAGGGTACTCTAGTTTGAACGCCAGTCGTCTACCCAAAGGAAAAATTAATAAAGTTATTTACTTAAGCTTTTGATTGTAATAGAGGTATTAAATTTTAAAAATAAGTTTAAATTTTCATGTTTTAGGATCGGAACGTGCGAGTGTACAGCGCGGCGCACGGCAGACATACGAAGACGTTTAGAGGCACCACCGCTGAAGATGGTACACTAATTAAGGTAATATGCTGTCTCTGTTTTATTTTCAGAGAGTGAAAGAGATGGTTATATGTTTGATAGTCCTTTACCAGCATTAGTGCATAGATAGAAAGGCAACTGCACAGTACATAATTTAAAGGCTTCTTAAAAGTTCAATTTTTTCATATTAAATCTACAATAAGAGTTATCCTTAGTGATTAATTAACGATTGTGAGTGTGGCATTACTGGTTTTTATTTACATTTCAGGTTGCATTAGATAACAGCGGTATTTACTTAGCCACATCGAGTACGGATAAAATCCTCAGCGTGTATGATTACTACTCTGGTGAATGTATGGCCACCATGTATGGACATTCGGAAATTGTTACCGGTTTAAGGTATGATTATTTATTCTCTACAGTCTTTATTTATATTATAGTAGTGCTAGCTTTATTCAATTTGATTAATGCTTTACTTTTTTTAATTATCTTCTTTTTTTAATTGGACGCCAACGAAATCGCGTCTAAAACCTAGTTGATAGTAAGATGTAGTCGATTCTGTTTTTTTAATAGGTGTGATCATCATACTTCATGCTAATATTATAAATGCAAAAGTTTAGATGGATGGATGTTTGTTAGAGTTTGTAACCTAAACGGGTGAACGGATCTAAACGAAATTTGGCATAGATGTAGAGAATATTCTGGAAGAATACATAGTCGCGGGCAAATGCTTGTGTATTTATACAAGTGTGATTTCAATGGAAACTGCATACATGTTTATTATTTGTAGGTTCACCCCCGACTGCCAGCACCTGGTGTCGGCGAGCGGCGACGGGTGCATCTTCGTGTGGCGCGTACCACACGACATGGTGGTCACCATGCGCGCGCGGCTGGCGCAGCAGGCGATACGGCAGGGCAGGTAAATATCTTTTGTATGGAGGAAATGATTTTTTTTTATTTTAACATGTCTATTTTAACTAAGTTTTAGGATTTTGTTTGAATTTGGTTCATATGTTGGTGTTTGAATATTTTGTAAACTGTTGTCAGTATTCTTCTTTCTAAAATGGCTATTTGTTAATTATAGAGAAATAGGTATGGATTGCGTGAATGTGCTATGAACAAAAGAGTTACCACTGAGATGTCAGATAGATTAACTTGGACGACGAAAACATTGTTCTCCTAAGGACGGGGATATGAAGACGATGTTAAATAGTTACTTTGTAAATATTTATTTGTATGGTTGTGTGTAGGAAAGTGCCAGTGGGCAGTAACGGTGCGTCAGGACTGGACAGCGAGACTGACTCGCAGCTGGGCTCGCCGCCGCGCGCCTTGCCAGACACTACAAAGTTCGGCACGCCTGTTGTCGCTGATTATACGTTAGTACTATAGATACTAGTGTTTTAAATCTATCTCTATCTGATTGATTTACTTTTATTGATAAGTCAGTAACATTTGTTAAAACAGTAATAACCCTCTGATCTATGGCCTACAATTCTAGAGATAAGGGGGGGGGGGGCTCCTATTCTGGCAACGCCCAGTGTTTACAAGATGCATAATTTTATTTGGAATATCGTCAATAAGATTCTTGTGCCTAATGTATGAAATTAAGCTTTGGGTAATTTTCATTGATGAGGAAAACTTTATAATTTAGTAAAATTCAGCTACTTTTTCCTTTAATCTGACTTAAAATTGATTATTTTAGATGTGTTTTTTTCGAGATTTTAATATATGTCTTATTTAGTTTACTTTTAATTGTAGGTTAAGGATAGGCAAGCTGCCGTCGTGGGCTAAGAAGAGTCTGGGGGATGAGCTGTCAGCCCCCGGGGGCGGGGCGGTGCCCGCCGCGCCCGTCGCCACGCCCCCCGCGCCGCCCGCCCGCGGCAAGTGGGCCACCAGGATACAACCCGCTAATGGTAAATTATTTACATGCTTGAAGTTAACTTTTTAAGTGTAACATGTCATAGGGTTGTCAATAAACAAAGTAAAGGAAATATTTTATAACTCTGAAGGACTACGAAAATAACTATGCTTTGTGATTTGTATGCTTTAAGTATAGCCTATGTTAATTACTCATGACATAGCTTTCTAATGGTGAAAGAATTCTTGTAATCGACCCAGTAGTTTTTGACTTATATCAATACGTACGAAGTTCCAAAAATATAAATCATTTTTATTATATTGTGTATATAATTTTTCTACTATGTTTTTAAGAACAGTATTTTTTTTTCCAGATAAACGGGTTGACTCCGATGGTTCAAAAGATAGTTCTTTAGACAGTGGAACTGACACAAGGTATATCGAGAAGAGAAGAGACCTAAATGTTAAACAGGTATGTTTTATGAATTTACTAAAGTTTATGTTATTTGAATGTGTATTTGGGTCGGATGGTGTCTATGTGAAAAAAAAAATTTTTTCTATAAAGTCGTATAGAAATTTTATATTTGATTTTTGTTTGTTTCGTCTTCAAATTAAATATTGGACAACACCGAAAAGTTAACCTTTTGCACGCCGATTATATCTCCAATGCCTTTTTTGTGGTATATTTTTGTCCTGTGTACTAATTTGTATTGTCTAATCACTCACATGAAGGTTTTGGTTCTGGTGATGGTTGAAATTTATTTTGTACATTTAAATATTTATATCCAAATACTCAAATTTATTTTTTTATGTTGCCATAGAATTAAAAAAAGTGAATTATCGTACTTTTTTTTATCTAAAAACATTGTATAATTTATTCTTTTTGGTATTTGGATATTTACTGTAAATATTTTCGCCTTTATTATTTTTTTTTTCTTCATTGAAAGAAAAAATGAATCATTATAGTTGATATTAATAACATATTCAAACGGTTGTGGTCCTTATCTACATACGAATAGCGGCCGAAATCCCTCAACCTGTCTCAGCTGCCGCGAGTCGAGGCTCTGTTCCGTCACTTTGACGCCACTATGAAAGCGACATGCGACATTTTGACAATCTCTCCAAGAGTCGAGAAGGTTTTTTGTTTTTTTATTTTATTTTTCATGATTTCGTGTTTTGTGTCCGCATATGATTTTTGTTATGCTTTTTGTTTTCGTCGTTTGTTTTTGCATTTTTCATACAAATAAGTTTTATTTCATTTCATTACATAATCGAAGATTTCAAAATGATTAGTAATTGATGTTATGAAAATTATCATCTTATTTATCCAGCATAGCTCAAAATGGTTAATGCAAGTTACAAATAAGTCACTCTAAACATCACTTAGAGATAATACTCAAACAGAATAAGTCATGTGTAAAAATAAATAAATTAAAACCACTTTTTAGAGATAATTGTTAGTCAAATAGAATATGTTATCCATAAAAAATATACTATTCAAATAGTCTATTTCTAGTCTAGTTTAGTCTATCATTGCATGCTCAATCACTTTTGCATTTTGCTATAATTTGATAAAAACAATAACTAACGTTTCATACTAATAATATTTTTTTAATATTTGCTTTGTAAAATGCTTGAGTTGTTTCTTCTCCATTTAAATAAGGTTGTTTAGTTATTTAACTTATCGCTATATTTAATTAAATCGATGGGATTATTAGAAATTCTTCTGCGCTATAATGTACTTTCACTTTATATACTCTTACTTACTCGAATTCTATTTTCTGTCAAATCTATTTTTCTTTGCTTCCAAAAGCTTGGAAGCTAAAGAAGAAAAGCTTGGTTTTAGATGTAAGTACATTCTCACACTCTTCTGTTTGTTACATTTAGCTTTGTATGTGAATGCTCCATACATTATCATTTAATTTATTTTGATATGTTCATTTATTTATGTTTTCGTTTCCGTCCCGCGTGCGCTAGGTAACGTTAAATCTGTCAAAGCGAGCTGACGGTCGCACGCGACACCACACTGATGACTCGTCGCTCGGCAGTTTTAAATACGAGGTTCGAATTTTGGTTTCATTTTTGTTTTTTTTTTTTTTTTTGTGTAATCCAATGACGGCGTATAGAGTATGTTTTTATAATTTAAAGAAATAGGGATTGTGGGTGATGGTTCGTTTATCTGCATGTAGACTGCAAAAATAAAAAAAAAATGTCACGATTTTTAAAATGTATGGAATGTTTGTACATTATACCAATTTATATTGGGATCATTTAAATGTTGTGTATTGTTGTATTGAGAGGGCAATTTGATGGTAAAAAAATAATTGAAACAAGTTATTTGACAACATTTTAAAAATTGAATATTTGAATTATGTATTATTATTAATTAACTGGTAAGTCGTGTGACTGATTTGGTAGGTTTTTGTTTATAATATTTTTTACTTCCAGGATCAAGAGTCGACCGAACACGACGGTGATATCGAAGACATATCTGACGGAGAACGAACGTCGTCTTCCGAGAGCCGGAACAGGCCTACGTATTACCCTGGCAACAATGATGATGATACACCAGGGTGAGTTTTGATATGGTTTATTTACTAATGGTAACAAATGTCACTTGACAAATTATAATAAGTGTACTAATATTATTCGTGTTATTTAAACGATCACTATGTTTAAAATGTCCAAGACTTAATGTATTTCAAATAATAATTTACTCGAATTTTGTGTCCATAAATTTAATTAAAAATAATGTTTTTAATCTATTATGTAAGCAAGAAAAAGCTTTAGCACTACTAGGTCGTTGACGGCCGTATTTTGAAACGACATTTTAATTTCATCATCATCATTATCACCAGCTCACTATACGTTCCCACCGAGGGGCTTGGAGTCTACCCTAATAAGGGGTGACTAGGCCATAGTCAACCACGCTGGCCAAGTGCGGGTTGGTTGACTTCTTGACATTTTAATATGCAACAGCTTAAATGTTAAGGCTACACTTAAAGTTCAAATACCATTGAAATTGTCATCTGACAGAGTGTAAGCGCTTACAACACCAAGTGTTTCATATTTAAGAATTCGGTCGTCAGTTGTATAGTGTAATAAAAGGCAGTATTGATGGATTGTGTAACGTGTCAGCGAGTTCATGGTGAACGCGATGGACGCGGAGGAGCTGCGGCAGTCGCTGCGGCGCTCCAAGCGCTGGCGCGCGCAGTCGCCGCGCCACGACCTGCCGCCCGCCGCCTCGCTCAGCGGCTCCGGACACGACTCCGATGACGATGAGGTACGTACAAATACACTGCTTCAACTAATATTACAAATGTTACCAGTAGAAAAGTGTTTAAATTGATCTTAGACATGTCTATTTTAAAAAAATCGTTGATTATAGCCTTACAAATGTAAAATTGTTCAAATAAGTTTATAATTTCTCATTTCTTTCGAATTCGACTATGCACGCACGCACGTCTTCATACGTACGTCCACGTACATGTACGTCGAAAGACGCACATTGTTGCATAAATAATATTTTTTAATCTAAATGTGAAAATAAAGATGGACTCGTCAAAGTCTAAGCATTTGCCGACACTATCTGCAGCACTTAAGAATTATTAAATAGTCTTCCTTAGTTTTGATTCAACATTAGAAAACTGAGTTTAATGTCTCTGATTATGATAGTAAATCATTCTACTTAACCAAATTTTAAGGAATATGTTTTTGTTTGAGTTAGGTATCAACGCCATCTGGCGACAACGCGGAGCGCAACCCGCTGTCGGGGTCGTGCGAGTCTATCGACACGGCGGGCCGCCGCGAGCTCTACCTCAAGTCCGCCTTCGACAGCCTCAGCGGCGTCGAGCTCGACTCCGCGCTGCCTGGAGGTGCGCCCGCCTACACTATACTGAATAACTAGCTTTTGCCCGCGAATACGTCCGCAAGGAATTTGAGAATAAAACGTTATTCCAGACTTTGTTCTATATCGGTTAAGTCGTTTTCTACATACGTTGAAACAAACATCCATCCATCTATTTAAATATTCGCATTTGTAATATTTTTAACCTTACCCATCATTCATGGCTCAATCGATCCACGGTATATACGGGTCTTAAGATATGGCCATTAATCTGCTCCATACAACATTTTGACTCCCTACAAAAGCTTTATTTTATTACTTAAATTAGTATATCATCTGTTATAATATTAGTAAGATGAATTGTACATGTTGTTAGGCAACAAGTCGCTGTCGGCGCAGCACCTGTCGCGCACGCCGGCCGCGCGGCCCGACCCCGAGGCCGCGCGCCGCCGCGAGGAGCTGCAGCGCAGGATACTGGAGACCAGGCGACAGCTTGAGAACGTAACGTATACATAGCGCTGTCTCCCTTACACATACACCCAAATATATCTTCTCTCTCACTCACTCTTTGAATTACCGCATAGATGCCGAAAAATTTGTGTATTTCACAACATGACAGATGTTTTCGAATATTTTACGCGCTACTCACTTGGCCAGTTCAGTTGCGACGGCCAGTTAACGATAGTATGTACTCACTGGTGCCAGATAGCCAGTTACCAATCGATAATCTTACTTAATATTTGTATTTTTATAAACTACTAGCTTTTCCCGTGCGACTCCATTCGCATAAAATTATGAAAGTTTGTTTTATTGTTCACATGTGTCAAAATATCAATTGCAAACGTCTAACTAATTTGCAAGAAAGTTGTTTTTTTTTTTAACTAAATGTTAAAAAAAACCTAATTCCGTTTCCCAGGTGGCCTTTCGGTCAAATCTCAAATCGAGTCAGTCCACTACGGATTTGTCCTACATACCAGAAAAGGATAATTCTCGTCGGAACAGACCTGTCTCGATGGCCGTGCCCAACAACTCTCGAACTTACGGTAAGTGGAATAAGGCTATTTATAGCATAACTAGGTTACACGTTTATCTAAATTCAAGCAATATTGCTGATTTATGATGTACCATTATGCACAGTCGCATACTGCATATTTGCATTTCATTTATGCGAATTTACACAAGTTATAAAAAATATATAACCATGAATTTTAAAAGTACTTTTATCTTTAATGCAATTACAAAAAACGTCGACAATTACATTAACCGATAGTAAATAATTTATTTGTATGTAATTGACTGCGTGTTTGTTTGACTGATGTATGAAATCACTAACATTATGCAATATATTATATTTTTTTTAGTATTTATTGTACTAATCAAAGAAACAAATTTTCCCCATCATGCTGACCAGGAGTCTCTAATCTTCCTTTTTATCCCGAGGAGAATCTAGACAGTCTTAACTTCTTCGACAGTCTCAATCCTTACCAGAATATGAATTTGGACTACCGTAACAAGAATCCTTACGCCATTCCCGCGAACATCAACCATAGAATGATGCCGGAGTACTTCGAAAACTTAGCTCCCTACGTACCACCGCACTCTGCTGTTACACAAAACCAACCAGACAAGAGAAATGTTAACTACGTACCCTACAACAAGAAACCTGTAGTGTTCAAAGAACAGATGCCACAGAAACAGCAACCGCTAGCTTTCACTATAGACATGGGAAAGAAACCTATACAATCTAAAGTATTTAATAGACTGTTCCCTGTTAATCCACACGAAGACAAAGAAAACCCACCGAAAGTGCCGCCTCGTAACTTCCATCTAAATTTAACTGAGAAACCTCAACCTAAATTACCAAAACCTAATTCCAGAAGTATATTTAAAAACTACAAATCTTGTCCCGTGTCCCCCGTGTCAGAAGAATGCAAATGGGCGGATAAAGTTGTTCAAAACAATCAAAATCAAACGAACGTTAAGCCTCAAAATGCTCCGCCAGATCCTAAGAAAAGAAATTCTCTAAGCTTCTTTGTTGGTTTAGATAACAGAGCTAAAGAAAGCGGTAAAAGTATAGTTGATACAATAAAAAGTGATACGGAGAAAATGATAGCTGAAATAACGAGAAAATATGGCGATTTGGATGAATATGAACCAAGCAATCAAAGCGATTTGGATCTCCAACCCTCGAAGGAAGTAGTAGAGAAAGACGATGGGAATTTCTCCTCAGATTCTCTGGAAGATTGCAGTCTGAGTCAAGACGTAAGTTGCAAGAACAAATTGTATTCAAAGAAAATTTGTAAAAAGCACACTAAAGCTAAAGGTATGCCACGACGCGCTGTATCTAATTATGAAATATACGGTGGTACGATGGAAAAACCTGTGGTACCTGTCAAGCCTCCATGTATAGGCCAGAAAAGTTCTACTCTACCAAGAAATATGCCATCGAACATTGACGATGTTATGGATGAAAATTATTCTATGAATTTTAAATACAGTATGTATAGATGTCAAAGTGTACTTACTAAAAGATGTATTACTCGTTCAAACGAGTCTGTACTGAGTGACAATTCTAACTGTTCCAGCGTTTCTAATGAAATATTTTTAAAGTATGGTAATGAAGTCGCCTTCCAACAAGCAAAGTATGATAGTCGATATAATCTAAATGACTCACAAAATTGTTCTTTCGAGAATCTGAACGAGCCTGATGATCAATATTTAGAAAAACACAGACATAGTAGTGCTAGTTTCTTCTTAAATCAGAAGAAATATATGAAAACAAGTTGTAGTCAGGAATCTATGTTATCTGATGAAATGTATTTAGAAAATGACAACCAACTCTCAAGGACTAATTGTAATTCGCTAGAAAGTGTTCTCTCTGATGATTCCGAATGCACTAAAAGTGCTCCTTTAGAAATGTTGTTTGAAGGCGCTCGGACTTCTCGACAACCAAATCACCCAGGTGCAGGAATGCCTAATAGTAAAAGTTGCTATGAATTTGACAATAGTTCTAAAAGTTATGGTTCTAGTCCTAATAATGTATCGTACATGGGGGGCTACATGTATAATAATTATCTTGGTGAAAGTTCTTCGAATTATAGAGACATAGTAGTAAGTCCGAAACCGCCCACCAGTAAAGTTTATGGCTTTGATGTACCTGGTGGTGAATATTCTGGTCATAAAACCGTTACGAGATCAAAAAGTTTATACGATTCTACATCGAAACAAACGCCTTCCTCGGCAAAGAGTGTTGCTTATTACTTCGATGGTAATAATATACAGCAGTATGAGAAGGAGAAAAAAGGAACCGATGAAATTCCAAGACTTAATACTGGTGATTACAGAGCAAATACTAGTAAGTCTTTGCAACCAAAGTTTTCCGAAAAACATAAATATAAAAGTGAGATGGAGGGCTGTGAACAAAATACTATGACTAAATCAAAAAGTTGCAGTTTCGAAGTGGTCTTAGAGCCAGCTTCAAAACCAAATCCTCTCAAAAATTTGATGGAAAAACGCAACTCGCATGTACAGAAAAATCTGGAGAAATTCGAGGAACAAATTCGTAAAAACGTTCAAACCAAAGTAAACAAAAATCAATTAAACAAGGAGAAAGCGAATGCTGCTAAATATAACAACACAACTAAAAGTCTTGAAAGAGGCTCTGGTCCAAAAAATAATAATGTCAAAATAACTATGGAGTTTGTTCCACATAAACCTCCAAAACCAATTAAACGAACATCTTCTACTAAGATGAATAACAGACTAAAAGCTAGCTTAGATAAGGGTACACTAAGTTCTTCCATATCATCGCAATATAAAGCTAAATTAGATGGACTTCAAAATAAAAATTATAATTGTAATAAGAAACAAGAAGATGCCAATTCAAACAAGGTCGATGCTGACAGTGCGGAAAAGTCGTTCGATGTTTTTGTCAAAGAGAAAGATATAAACGAAAACAAATCAGAAATGCAGATGGACAGTTTAGAGGTTTTCGCAATTCAAAGAATGGAGAGACTTCAGCATGTCAGCATGGATTCCCTAGACGTTATTGAAGATAGCCAAAATGAATTTTCCAAAGATTCATTAGATTATTTTTCGGAACAAGATAAGAAGAAGAATATCATCAAAGCTTCTAAGAATCAGACGAATCGAAGAATTTCTTCAAGAGTTGACTGTGAAGGTCCATCACACAGTAGACAAAATACTGAAGCGAAAGAAAATATTGCACCGTCAGATACAAGTGATGAAGTAAAAAAATATAAATACATAGAGCGAAAATTGGAAATTATTAACAAATTAGTCGAAATGGAGGAACGGAAGATACTGCAAGAGAAAATACTAAAGGAATGGCGCATGAGACCCTTGAAAGCTAATATAAATGATGGTAAAGGTGTAGTTAAACTTTTATCAAGGAAATTTGAAAAGCTGGCGACGAAACAAAACACTGTATCTGATTTTGCTTCACTTACACTAGAAGAAGTCGATACTGACACCGACACGGCATCAGAAAATAAAGAAATAAAGCGAAATTTAAGTTTACCTGATATTCTTGACTCGGATCAAATCGGGGGTCTAGTTACGGTGGATATCGAAGTAAGTAACGATGCTGGGAACGAAGCTATAGAAATCGATCATTCAGATCCTCCACAACTGAATAACGCAGTTTGCAGCGAATTGAAAGCAGTTCAAAAGTTTTTGCCCCAACGTGTCTATAATGAAATGGTTATACCAAAAACGGATGTGCATTTAGATAGTGAAAATTACGAGTCTTCAACAACAAGTTCTAGTTGTACTAATTCGCCTAAAAGGTTATCCATGTATGGCTTCAATAGACCGAAAACTCCACTAAGAAAAATGTTTCGTATGCCTGGACCTAGATGTAGTACTGAAAACCAAATGTGTACACCTGAGTGTAGAGTGAGGCCGTTGCTTGGTTCCGGGACTGGTGTAAGGAATTCCGGTCTGTCCAAAAAGTTTCCATTACACCCTCCAGTTCTGCCGTCGAAATTTTCACCAGTGCAAGGTTGGATTCGCATGTTTGAACGAATAATTAGATGTTGTAACGGTTATCTTTTTATTTCGCGCTTTTCATAATTGTTTTTCGTTCAATATCAAAACATTTCTCGAATCCAATTTTATTAAAAATTAAGTAAATCAGAATTTGTGATATTTTGTGAGCAATCAAAAAAATCTGACCTTTTTTGCAGTCCAATGATTTTTGCACTGGCAATCTTCACAAATCATCGCAAACGGCTTTATTGTGTTTATTTCAGCATGTGTCGATCACTGAGTATGCACGAAACGGTTTCGTAGATATAAGTTTGTAGTGTTTGCTTAAGTCACGATAATCTGAAAATTTTAAAACACTGAATATTTGACGTGATTAAAGATTTTAGAGTTTAGTTGTTATGAGATGGTTCAGATTATGGTAGCTGATTGCATGTGACTTACAATTGACCGGTGTGACCCAGCGAGCCGCACGCACCTCTCGCCGCCGGAGCGCGAGGACGCGGGCGGCATGAGGAGGGCGATATCGCTGTCCGACCTGGCTAAGCCCGTGCCGGCGCCGCGCACGCCGCAAGGTTTGTACTCCCCAGGGTTGCGGTGGTGGGTCGACGTAATTTATTTACACGGAGGAGCTATGGTATTTGCACGTTTATCAAGCTGGTTTCTTCATAAACTATTTTATCATACACTAGATTTTTTTTATAGGTATGTGCATGTCTGTCCATTTGTGTGACTTTTGGTTTTTATCTTTTTTTGGTGGTTTTTTGGTTTGGTAATGGAAAATTGCTTGGTTTGCTTTTTCTTAGGATACTCTTATTAATTATTATTTTGGTTGGTTACAGGGTTGGTAATAGTTCTTTTCTTGACGTTTTCATGTTATCGACGTTGATTTCTAAGCTTTCAGATCATCGCTCTATTTATCTTGTATAAGGATGTACATAATCGACTTTTAATTGTTTTTGTTCTATTCTTAATTCACATGTTAATACAAATGCTCTCAATTCTGTCAAGCTAATGAGGTTAAATTACTACTATATATAATATTTACTAATTTCATTCCTTATTAAAACATTACATATGGCGTAGGTCGCGAATTACTTAATTAACTTAATTTTCTTCTTCCTGACAAACAAAAATAGATTTTATGTTTCATAATTAAGAATGTATTTTGTTTGTGTAGCTCCGGTGAAGTCAACTCCGCCGACGAGCGCGAACTCGAGCAAGTCTCCGAGTGGGTTCGTGCGGCCGGCGCCGCGGTACAACAGCAAGTCCAGTATGACGAGGAGTTCCAGTGTCGGTGTACTAAATCAGGTAATTATAAGCAAGTTAGGGATAACCTTGTTAGTGCATGTATAAATCGCCTTTGAAGCGGATTCGTCTGGCTAATTAAATTTCATCCATAAAATCCTGAAACAGGAAGAAAAGAAATGGAAGTGGCAAGTGTTAAAAAACCTGACTAGATATAGAATCTCCTTACTGATTCAAAAATGGATTTATGTTCAATCATAGTTTCACTTTTATGGTCTTATGAGTGTAAAGGTCTCGAGGCTGGGTACTTTCTTCATAATTACGGCGTTATAATTGCCAACTGTCTGCATATGCTATCGTAGCATCTATTTATTATGTATATTAAAATATTTATCCGTTTCTAGAGTGATTCAGAATCAGACCCGCAGCCGTCCCGTCAGGCGGCGTCGCGCGTGCAGGGCCTCATGCGGCCCACCATCAGCTCCATGAACAAGGCCACCGCCAACACGGCGCGCAGGCGCGGCCTCGTCAACTCTTATAGTACCGGTACGTACACAGACTACGGACTTTATCACTTTAATGAGTAGTTACCTAATAATATCTAGAGAATACTAATAATTTGAAACTTAAAATGTACTATAAGTCAATGATGAGCCCCTTTGTAACTATATAGAAAACTCAGACATTCTAATTAGTAAAACTGTGTTCGTAGTTAGATTTTTAGTGCACTTTCGAATCCATAAAACGTTCAACACGTCATCAATATTCTCCAATAGCCTCTAATATATTAATGTGCACTGCATTCCGTTCCCCGCACGGAGTAACATGACCATTGGTACAGCGAGTGTGTCGACGGTGGCGCGCGAGGAGTCCAGCTCGGAGGCGGAGGATAGAGGCACTAGCGAGCCCCCCGCGCCCGCGCCGCGCCCCCGCGCTGCCTCCGCTGACAGGGCGCAAAGAAGACTCGGTATGTACACGGACTACTAACCAAAATTTTGTCATTTCAGCTGCAAATAAAATTAAAAAATGAGCAAAATTGTTTCATTAACTATTTACGTATAGGACGCAGTGGCAGCGAACGCGATCTGTCAGCGAAAGCGCGCGAGGTGACCGCCCGGCTGACGACCAACACGCGGCAGCGCGCTAAACCTGAACCCCCACCTGAAAATAATTGTAAGAAATAAGTTTTCAACGAATACAATCTCATTCACGTTCCGATGTTCACTCATTATTCTTTTTGCATATTATAATGTGGCAAACGAGCAAGCGGCCATCTGCTCGCGTGGCGCGCTATGCGCTATGCGTCTCCTCCACTCTCATATCCACTTTCCCTTCCTATCCTTCGCTTATAAAACAGGACGGAAAGAGAAAAGGACTAAAATTAGGCCTCCGACACACACACATCAGACAAAACGTAGAATTGCTTCTACTTCACGCCATTCTGTGTGGTCGTGGTATTACACCAGGCGAGCCGGCCATACAGTGTAAAGGCGGGCTCTACCACTGTTCTATTCCATCAGGTTTTAATGATTTGTATGTATGTATTGCAGTGTCGCCGTCGCAGCTGTGCCTGGCGCTGACGGAGCAGCTGACGAAGACCGCGGGCAAGGTGGTGCACCTCTACCGCCGCCTGCAGCGCGACCCCAGCGCCGCCGCCGACATCGGCGGTCAGTGCGCACTACACACTCTGACGTCATTTCTTAATCATACTAATATAAATGCGAGTTTAGATGGATGGATGTTTGTTAGAGTTTATAGCCTAAAAGGCTGAATGGATGTGGATGAAATTTGGCATAGATGTAAAGGATAGTCAGGAAGAATACATAGTCTACTTGCTTTTGTTTATTTTTATTCCACGCGAACGGAGTCGCGGGTGAAAGCTAGTGGATTCATAAAAGGCTTAGTAGTAGTATTGCTATTTAAAATTACAGGCGTTGAAACTAATATCCTTAATTTTAATTTAAAGATTCCTAGAATTAAAACGATTTTTTGGCATGTGTAATAAAACTAAGTATGTAATTTGTGATGTTTTCAGGTTTAGAAGCGGCGATACTGGAGACGCAGAAGGTGTTGCGGGGCGCGGTGCAGCGCGCGCAGAACGGCGAGGCGCCCAGCAGCCTGTCCTCCACGGACGGCGACTGCCGAGCACTCAACGTCGACTCCACAAGACAGAAGCTGGAGAACCTCGTCTCTAAAGGTATCTATACTAATATCACAAAGGTGAAAGATTTGGATTTTTATGTATTAAAATAACTCAAAAACTACCGGGCCGGTTTCGAAAATTCTTCCACCATTAAAAAGCTGCGCTATCAGTGAGTAACATAGGCCATATATTTCAATTTTTTATTATTTCATGCGGGCGAAGTCGCATGCTACAGCTAGTATTGTATACATTTTGTATTTCCAGAAGCGAACGCAGCGGGTAACCCTGCAATGTCACTAATCGAGCAGTACTCCGACATCTTGCTGAACATGATGCAGAGTAAGATGGTGAACCAGTTCTCCTCCAGCCCGCAGAGCCTCCCGCCCGCCGGCAGGGAGCCCGGCGCCGACAGCTAGTACCAACTATAGACTTAACGTGATCAAGTTACGAAGTGTTTTATAACCGAGTTACCTGTGCGGAGCCGATGTACAGTTTGAATTAGTCGAGTTATACGACAGAAGGTACAGCCGAGTTACGAAGTGTGTTGATATTGAGTTACTTGTAAGGATCGCATGTACAGTTTTAATTAGTCGGGTTAACACAAGTATGGCGACAGCGAGTTTAACACGACGTGTAGTTTTAATTGAGTTAACACGAAGTTAGGATGTGTCGAATCCGAGTTACCTGTGCGGAAACCTTGTACAGTCTTAGTTAACACAATCTATCGGTTTTTCTTAGGGCTTGTCCCACCATTGGCTGATAGTCTCAGATTTAAAAATGAAGTTACTGTCAGATAAGGGAACAAAATCCGGTATTTCCATCACATATTTTACACTTTGGATTATTATTAGACAATTTACAATCTGGTGGGACAGGCCCTTAGTGTTCTAACTACTAATAAGTGTGTACTCGAGAATTTTGAAGTGTATGTAGTTGTGATCGTGTAAGATACTAAATAGAATATTTTAAGTTAAATAACGAACTATAGGATAAGCACTAATTTACTGATTTTAAAACCATCCCACTAAATAAAATATCAGTACATAAACAGACTTGGATAAAAATAATATCTCCTTTTTATTTCTATACGAAAATATCTATAAATACACAAGTGTTATCCTTCAGAATTCAATTACTTTTTAACAAATTTTAATAAAATCCTGTGTCAGTATAAGTAAAGATTAGTGTAAAAATAATGCAAATTCAACCATTCCTATAAGGTCTTTGGTTTCTGTGAATTTTTTGATGTGTTTGTTTCGTGTTAGAATGGTTGTCCTGTCATACCTATGATAAATAATTAGCTATGTTTTTAAAGTATTCGTTGAAACGAGAAGTTTCAAGATTTTGTCTTTAGATGTTTGAATTAAAATCATATTTTATTTTCTCCCAAAATGTTTGTCAATTGAATGTCTCATTGAAATTATTGTTGTATAAATGTTTTTAATTAGTAATGGTTTTATTATAATTGAATATATCAGCATTTATTTTATTTTACTGGAATACAACTTATTTTCTATTATTATTGCATTTTAAGTAAAGAAACAATACTATAAACTGTACTGTTCAAAAAAAATCTTACAAGAATTAATAATGTTTAATTTTTTTTTCTATCGTATATTGTTTTTTTTAACTATGCAAGATTTTTTTTGTAAAATCTTCGCAACTTTATTATGATTATTTACTCTACCTTTAATTTCGATTTGAAGTGTTCTTTTTTTTGCATTTCAGCTATTTACAATGCCTAATGATGTTTAAATTATATTTAAATCCGAAAAACAAAGAGGCAAGCTAATATTGAATCTTTATTTCCTTGAATATGCATGAAAACTTTTTTTGTATTTTTTATTTATAAAACAATGTGACTGTAAACATTCTATGGCTATTGTTTTTATTATGAAACTTATACTTCTGATCAGTTTAATTTCAGTATTGTTTCTTTCATATTTCATTTTTTTCTATATGTACAATTTCATATAATACTGTACAAATATTATTTTATAAACAATATTTTGAAAAGACCCTTTTATTGTAATGCAACCAAAAACAAAAGTCCAATGACTAATCGTTCTAATTTATATTATAAATGAAAAAATAATGCATATGTCACTAAAAAACTTTGATATTTATATTCTTCCAATTGAAGAAATAATGACATTTGTTACTACTATCCGTAAATATTAAAAAAATAATGTCTATATATTACATTATTTTTTTAATATTTACGGATAGTAGTAACAAATGTCATTATTTCTTCCTTATAATTTAAATAAATTCCTTATTTATCTAAATGTAAAGGAATAACTATGGGCATTTTACAGACACTATATTTTAATAATTAAAATTGAATTGTACTGACGATTTTCAAATACGCAGAAACATGTATTTTTCGTAGTCTTATGACCGTATGTAGATATTCTTGTATTATTTAATGTTCAAAATTGTATTGCCATTTATAAAAAAAGACTAATGTTATTATTTTTAGAAACGATATTACAATCATTTTTAAAGATTTTTTGTTTTTTATTTTTTTTTTTCATTATTTGTTATTTCATCTATATGATTTATTTTTATTTCTATTCTAAAATAAAACATTTTTACACGAAAATATTCATTTTAATTTTAATTATTTGATATTTTAATGTGATTAGGGCTATACGTAAATGACAAAATGGCCGTTTTTAGACATAGACTTATTTCGACAGTTGTGGTTAAGTTAACTTTAAAGACATTCAAGTAAGTGTTTGATTAAAGTTAGGTATTAATGGGTAGTGAATTTAGATTGAATAGTTTTAAAATAATTGCTGATTTTTATACATTAGTGTATATAGTGGTTTAAATGTTTGATGTTATATTAGAAAAGAGGAATTGTGGATTGGAATTGTTTGAATTGTCTCGACCTAGTCACGGCGTGGGCACTAACATGCCCACAGAACAGAAAGTGTTTACGAAATAATTTCAAATGCGTTCAGTTAAATATTTTATTAGAACAATGGAATTGTGAAGGAATGGATAGGTTACAGTAAATTAACATTAAATTTCATTTTTTAACATTTTTATATACTAGTTTATTTACAATCGTATTTACATATATCAGCAACTATCTATTATAAGATACATTTTTAGGCATATACACATATAATTAATTTTAGATTTATATTCCCTTTAAACTTAATGATTCTTTTTTTATTTCATTTCTTATTTTTCCTGTATTACTAGCAACGGCGGATCCAGGGGGAGGGTCATGGGAGTCCTGTCCCCCCCATGCACGACTATGTGATCCCCCCTGGCGCCAAAGCTCCGCCCTAGATTACTAGGATATGATTATTTATGGTAGATTTCGTAGACTCGGTGAAAAACATCCTTGGCAATGGTTATAACCTGGTGAGATGGACATGTGGAAATAATACGTCCGTGGTTGCTCATTACAATTATTATCCTTCCAGTATAACTTATTTCTATGGTAGTCTAATGTAACCATTTTTATCAATACAGCTAAATTGTTTATTAACCATACTGATTTACATTTTTTTAATAATTCATTTAGATACAGAAAAACCTCGATAAGTTAAAGTCGAAGGGAAACACAAAATATTTTAAGTTATAGAGGATTTAAGTTATCAAGGGTTGTTGTAGAGGCTTTGATGGGAAGGGAACATATAATTTTTGAAGTTGTAGAGGTTTTTAAGTTACCGAGGTTTGAGTTATCCAGGTTCTACTGTACTAACTGTATTGCTTTAAGTAGCCGCTTAATATAACATATTTTCACATCGTATTGAATAATTTGAACTACACATAATGTCCGACTTTTCTAGCACTGTCAATATCATGATTTCTTATTGGAATTATTAGTATTCACGACAGTAAATTGTATTTAAATTCGGACATCTTGTGTATTCTAATATGTACAGACTAGTCATAGTGATTCGAAACATTTTTTATGAGAAATACAAGCGAAATTAATCAATTTTATACGTTTTATTTGCCCTCCATTGTAAGTACAAACCCCTATCCATCAAGTTGTCTTTTGGCACGATGGTAACATTTATAATATTTATTTTGATTGCAGATAAAGCGATTTTGAAGAGTTGGTAACAATGTATTGGTCTATTCGTAGTTCTTATACCACAGATAATATAATACTTATACTATAAATAAAAATTTAGTTGATTTCAGAATTTATCAGAAAGTCAATTAAGCCTTTTGTGCTGTGGAATTTTTTTGCTTTTTGGTAACGTTGCGCGGATGTTTGTCCACACGTTCGACTTCCCGAAGCAAGCCCGTCCGTATGAGCAGGTCTATGAACGGCCGACGGCGTGGCTTCCTAGTGTGGCGGTATGGAGCAGATCGGGCCTCTGAAATTTGTTTATACATGCAGAACACTTAATGACATTATTTAAAAAAATTACGTTAATAGTAGCCGAACATTATTACATAGGTACTAATGTTATATAGCGGAAAGATTTGTATTTTTGTATATATTGAAATAACTCAAAAACTACTGGACTAATTTAAAAAATTCTTTTACTATTAAAAAGCTAAGTCATCAGTGGGTAAATAAGACCATGCTTACTTAAAAAAGTACTCACTTATGGTTTGTGTTGGAGTAGAGATGGTCTGTGGGCCGAACTCGTATAAGATTTGAAAATCTGCATGGTTTCCAAATCTAAATCCAAATCCAACGCGATGATCGTTGCCTTGTAAATAAGAAAAATAATAAAAAAAAAAACAAGACAATGTACTTGGATATTATTCCCACGATAGACCTTAAAGAAATTCCCGTTAACAGATCGAATTACTTGATGATGCGGGCGTGTAATTTTTTAATTTTCATTCACACGAATATTACCTTTGTTGTATAGGTATTTATGACGATATTGTTAAGGTCTCGAACTAGGTGGTTCTAATTCATAAAAGTAGCCTACCAAGTTTCAACCGTGGTGCAAAACCATATACTACAGTAAGCCCTGCGGACACATCTTCTGGAGCTATTTTAGCAAGATGAGCGCCGCATGTACCTGAAATTTATAAGTATTTTATTCTATTCTTAATTATCTTCATATTGTCACGTTTAATAATCAAATGACTGATTGGATACGAGAGATATAAACAAGGGCGCATTCAGCTTTAGCGCCAGGGGGTGGGGGGGGGGTCACATAGTCGTGGTCAAGTTACGAGCTTGACAAAATATGTAAATATATTTTGTCAAGATTTTGAACAACCAGCTCAGGGGGTGGTCATGACTCCCATGACCCCCCTCCCCTGGATCTGCCGTTGGATATAAATAAGAGTTTCGAAAGTTTAAGAACATACAAAAAAGACATGAATAAAGATGATGTATTATTGCTTATGATACCCATTTTTGTAAAAACTGAATAAGAACAAGGATCAGATTAATTAGGAACAAGGTAAGAGTTCAAGTAATAACTAATATGTAATTACCACGTGTGCAAAATAAGGAAAAACACTTACATTTCAATAACATAAGAACACAGATTACGTTTATTTCGCGTGACATATTAACAAAAAGAACGGGAATCAGTACTGGCACTCAATAGCCAATAAAATAAAAAAGACTCAAAGAGTTGAAAGGACATTGAAGACTGATGGAGTGGTGTGCCGTATGGTACGCGGTGGCTTGCAAAAAATACGCTATTGTACATAGGATTGTGTTCCCACGGTAATTAATAAAGATAATCTTATAAAAGTATGCACATTCGTTGTGGTACAAGTGTTAAAAAAACTATTTTATTTTGCTTATGGTAAACGGCTTACTATTAAGTAAAAAAATATCGTCGGTGTTGGAGAAGTTAAAGGATTTATGGATTCAGATTGATTATCTAGGAGATATATATTTATAGTTGCAACAAGAAAGTTTCTTTGGCGTCATACGAATCTATGAATTTACCGTCATATGATTAAAATTCGACTGCTACTTCACAACCACACCGCCTTCATTTGTCATATAATAATGAGTTAAGAGTAGAAGCGAGTATTTGCTCTTCATAAACAACAGGCGCTTAATATTTGAAAAAGAGGTCTCTAAAAGTCCCGATATGTCACATTCACGCCATATGTGCTGATGTATGAATGGATTTTTTTTCCAAGTAACTCCAAAACATTAAACGGATATGAACGATTTAGCGTCATCAGCGAAAAAGATATACTTGATTTTTTGTTTTATCTCATTTTTTATTTCGGATTAAGTCACGAAGCAGCAAACAGCAAGTTGTTAATAATCATGCGGATGTTATTATTGCTAAAGTTGTCATTGCTTAACCGAATATAAGCTTTCTATATTTGTTGGAATACCGCCACCACTCTTGGTTTCACAAAATATGAAAGTGGTGGTTAAATTACCTCATATGATCATAAGTGTAAAATCATTTACGTGAATATAGTACTTATTTTCTTCGTGCCAAAGTCGAAAGTTGACTGGCCTTTTGTTATGCAGTTGTTGCTGCAGACTAATATTCAGAGCGTGGTGAATGGAAACACACACACGGATGTCAAATGTATAATTGGCTTTTATTGTAAAATAAGCCTTATGCAGTATAGTTTTTTGTGTTATTTTTGCTTAATCGAATTCTGGTCGTAGCTGCCCGGGGATTTTGAATTTCGAACACTAGTAAAATGCGTTGCCAATTCAGAAACATACAAACTGCATGACTCATGACAATGGAATTTAAACCTAATGTCGCTGTACATTAAGTAATAAATTAATAGTCTATTAAGTAGACATAAATCGTTGTCGTAATAGTGAAAGTTTCTACGTTGGTCGTCATATGTTTCTACGTTCAGTTTGGCGGCAAAATCAGTCGCGTTGACAGTTCTTATTTTTTTTTCAGTCAATGACAATCGGATAATGCGGGTTTATTGACTAGATTTCATTACAATGTTTGTGTATGTTAGGTGAAACAGTGATCTTACGAAATTGTTTTTTTAAAAATGGCGGTTAAATTTGTTTATCTGTTGTTTCTGTTTTCTTTAGGTAAGTAAATATTTGGTGTAGAATTGCGATTAGCATTACTTACTATTCGTGTTATAATACTTTCTTTACTGTATAACGCTGTAATGGTAGAGGTAACAACGATAGTGCAACTGTAGTAACAAGTGTAGCATGTGTTTCCACTGTCGAAACAATTGTGAATAAAAACTCTTAATAAATAAATAAGTAAATTGTCAAAATGATATAATATTTTTCTTACATTTGTTTGGAAGCAATCAAATGTTCAAAAATAATTTAAATAAATATTAACATAAGATAGAAAAAGTTGTAATTTTGTCTATGAAATATTAATAACATTTATTTAGTGTACAAAGTGAGCGGCGAGCGAATTACAAATTATAATAATCCATTAAGTCCTTCACATTGTTTTTGTGTCCGGTTAATATTCATATAATTATTAACCTTCAATAGCATAATAGGGTCACCACAAATTACACCTTTTCTTAAATTACACAACTTTCAAAAATGCAATATTAACAGTAACTAGTCTATATCTATTCTATCTATTAATATCGAAAGAAAAAATCCAGATTTCGGGACGATGATGTATTTCTGTCTGTCTGGCTATCCGCAAGCCGCGTTTGTTCTGAGTAATCCCTAATAATATTGTCAATACATTAGTAGTGAATATTTCTTTAAATTGGAGTACTCTTACCCTTTTGTACATCAATTTGAAGTTTGAAAGGTGAAGGCAACGGGGTTGCAGCTATCATCATCGACTTGCCCTTATCCCTTATGGAGGGTCGGCACAGTATGTGCTGCTCTTCCATACATCTCTATCAGCCGTCATATCTGAATCCACTCCTTTCTTAAGCATATCCTCTTTCACACAATCCAACCATACTTTCTTCGGTCTTCCTCTTCCTTTGTAGCCATTCACATTCCATCTTAACACTTTCTCGTAACGGGGTTGCAGCTATATCCTTAGAAAATCTGTAAAATAGAAAAATTGCTCCTTTACTCATATTAGTCAATCTCTATATGTTTTTTCACAATTTTAGTGATGTTTAACGCTTGTGTAATATGGCAGCTTCGATTTCGTAGCTTGAGACAGGTTTGCGCGACAGTTTAGATGCCTTTGCACTTAACTAAGGTCGTTCTGCTTAGAACTTTCATAAACAACTTATGTCAGAAATTATAATTTATGCAAATATTTATAGGGTCTGTTTATGTAATGTTATCGGTTATATCTATACTAATATTATAAAGAGAAAAGATTTGTATTTTTGTATGATAATTCCAAAACTACTGGGCTGATTTTAGAAATTCTTTCACCGTTAGAAAGGTAATTTATCCGTGAATAATATATTTTAATTTCACGGGGGCGAAGTCGCAAGTCTAGTCTAAAGACTAGACTTGCGGCACTTCTTTCTGTGTATATTAAAATATACACAGAAAGAAGTGCCCTTAAGAAAACCAAAAATAAAACGCACAATAATACTATACTAGCTTTTTGTTAATTAGAAATCAAAAATAAACAAAAGGCGTTCGTAATAAAACATGTACAAAAATGGTATATGGTTTATTATTTGTAATCCAATAGGTTATATGTTCAATAGTGCATTGCGTTGAATATTTAGTAAAAAATTGACAAGGTTAAAAAAATAACCTCCAAATAAAATAGTTATATCCAAGGTACACTTTTTTCAATAAATTAAAAAAAATGTATAAGGACATCAAACAATTATTGACATATGAAGCTTAGAATCGAGATATTTAATTACTTTTTGACATTTGTTTAGTAAAATTAATAAAATCTTTTTACCAATTATAAGATGGACTAGAATATAGTTATTCAACTATGCAACAACTTTGTATTTCATCAACATCACGAAACATTCGATTTTTGTATAATTTTTAATAATTTATTTCTTAATATTTTTTTACATTTCGTTACAATAATGTTAGATATCAAAACACGAACATCTTATTTTCCCATCGTTATTTTGTCTTACTTTACTTTTTCTTGTAAATAACGTTACACAAGTTTTAAGTAAAGTGAATTTGAACAAGTTAAAATAAATGCGGGAAACCCTGACCTACATTGATACGCAACACAAGCCATGTAAGGTTGCGATCTTTTGACGTTCGCACTCTCACACTAAACAGATTTTAGCACGCAATGTTCTTGTGTTTTTCTAATCTTACGAATATTATAAATGCGAAAGTTAAGATGGACGGATGGATGGATGGATGTTTGTTAAAGCTTGCCTAAACGGCTGGAAGGATTTTGATGAAATTTGGCAAAGATGTAGAGGATAGTCTGGAAGAACACATTCAAACACACACAACATTCATGTATAAAACATATATTTTTATTAAAAATAGATTTGTGTACTTATTTCTACACTAACTTTAACAATGGAAAATTTTTCATTTATTTGTACCTTGTAAAATAATAGAATACGTTGCGTATTAACATAGATTTTAAAACAAAATATTAAGTATGGTTAAGATGTAATATTTTGCGAATTTCACTTTTACATTCATTAACATAATAACTTGGCTGTAATAGAATAAACATACGTTTAAACTTTCTCTATCTGTTTGTACAATTTTATTTACCTTGTTCTTGGTACCTCTTAAGGTACTGACTGCATAGACGTTTCACGTTTCTTTCCCAAGACACAAAGACCCAATCTAGTCTCTCGTCAATACCTTTTCATAGGCATAAAGCCTACATTAAATTAATCCAGGTTTGTACAGTTTGCAATCACGTAATGTTCATTATCATTAATTCACACTGTTTATTGAAGCTTACAATAGCTATTGTATTGAAATGTTTATTGGTAACTAGCAAGAAAAAATTGCTTATTCGTGCGCATACTTGTGTATTAGGGCGGGATTACACATGTCACGTTACCTCGCATGCCAGTATTTGGCGTTAAAATGTTTAAAAAACACACATGAATTGATAACCTCCCCATTTTTAATCGTTTAAACACAACAGAAAACCGTTATAAACTCACTTAGGGCTCGTCCCACCAAATTGTAAATTGTCTGATAACAATCCAACGGGTAAAATATGTAATGGAAATATCGGATTTATTTACTTTATCTGCCAGTGACGTCATTTTTAAGCTATCTGAGTATCAGCTAGTGGTGAGACAGGCCCTTAGTAAAACAATTTTGGTTTATTTTCAGGACAATGCTCTGTGATTATACCTGAGGAGTTGCCGTCGCTGTTGTCCGTTGCTTATTCTAATATTCCACCTATCAAAAAAGGTAAGCCCTACATTATCTTTAAGTAAATTATTACTGGTTCCGTATGATTACATTTTACAAATAAACTCCAGAGACTGTCGACTATAAGCTTAAAAATTCTAACCTACAACCGGACTGAGAGTTTAATTGATACCTGAAATGAAGATTAGGCCACTCTGAGTATTACAGTTAGTGGGTAAATGGAAGCTAATATTAACTAAATCATTTCTTGTATATTTCCAGGCACAGACTCTAGAGTTGGCTTTGGGTTTGCGTTCGGAAACCACGCTGACTTTCAGGTCATGTTCGAACTGGGACCACAGACTAACACAATGAATCTTAGTAAGATATTTAATTAATTTAATAATTACAAGTATCAAAAGATCAATTTATAATGGTTTAAATCTTAGAATTCTTATATTTAAAAACACAGACCCGTTTTCGTTCGTTTAATATGTTTTCTCGTGTTTTGAAAAAGTTATTAGTAATAACCTAAATTGTAATCTTACTAATATAAATGCGAAAGTTTAAATGGATGGATGGATGTTTGTTAGAGTTTGTAGCCTAAAAAGCTTAACGTATCTCGATGATACGAGCATAGTCTGGAAGAATACATATGCTACCTACTTTTTTTTAATTCCACGCGGACGGAGACGCGTTCGAAAGCTAGTTGCTAATATTGTCATCACTGGCTCTTTATTGTTTTTTTAATATTAAGAGATGTGCTATAATTAATGCACTATATACTTATAATAAAAATGTATTTGTAAATTGTTGCATTTGTATATGAAAAAAATGTACATATTATGGACTCACTAGTGAAAAATATTGCTATTTTTTCCTGATAGGCACAAAAATTATAGACCGACATTGACTTCTTTTTTTTAATTCTTATGTTTATTATTTTCAGCTGGACAACCGTTCGGGTCGGGGAGCAACAAACGACAAGCGCCGGCCTTGCCACCGCTCAAAGTTAATAAAAATAGGGAAAAGGTATCACAAGTTTGTTCTTTTTATATTTTTTAAGTAGGAATTCAACTTATTAAAAAAAACAATTGTCTCCTATTCAAATGATAAATAGATTAACAAAATAATCAGAATTGTTAACAATTTAAATAACATCTTTTAGTTCCTTCAAACGGACGCCGGAAAATATCTTCAGAGCTGGGCGCAGAAGATGAAGAGCCCATCAAAAGTTGTTCACAAAAGACCAGATACGAGTAGACCGGGAGAAGTAATGAATCTAGAAGATTCCGTGGTTGAATTGATTAAGAACGAAAAAGGAGAGTACGAGATTCATCAACCAAAACCGGGACATATGCCTCAATTCGTTTTAGATAACCTCAAAAAGCTATACGGACAAAAGAAAGAAGAAGCACAGAGGTTAGGAGACCAGAAAAGGACAGAAGATGTTCGAAAAATAACTGAAGATTTGTCTAATGTTGATTTAGATTAAGAAATAAACGATAACAAATAAATTGTAGTTTTTTTTTAATAACCGCGGGTTTCAACAAACATAACATTTCTACAAAAAAAAATGTTTTTGTTTGGAAAAAATTACATAGATCCCCAAAGAAATCATATTAAAGAAGCTTGGATCGCTAACATAATCTATAGTTAATATTAAATCAAAATTTATAGGCTTAGTTATGTTTATTTTCCTAAGAATATTAAAAATGTCCGCGACCTATCATAAACTTTAAGGAAACCTGAGAACAAGTTATGTTACGAAGAAGTTTTTGTTAGAACATTGTTTATTTTCTGTAGTTATTTATTTTATCTCGTATTATGAATGGAATTGAATATATGTGGGAATCTGCAACCAAGAATCTATATCAGAAATATATTTTCTTTTAGTATAGTAATAGTCTTTTAATTAAGTATAGTACTTACTTACTGCGTTGGCGCAGCGACCCAAAGTGGGTCTTGGCCTCCGACACAATAGTAGCAGTTCTTTATAAATAGTTATATATTATTTATTGTTTTCTTACATAAGCATCACAAATAATAGCTATACAATTCTATTAGAAAACTATTCTGTATTTGCTCACAAAAATATAATTAGATACTGTTTAGTTAAACACAATTTTTAAAACTTTACCCCTGATTGTTATTGGCTTCAACATAGTTATGATTCACTATAAATAAATGTTTTGTTATTTATTGGTAAAGATCGTATTTCGCAAGCCTTTTTTTCCGCTGGGAAAATGCATTTACGCATCCCCCCCCCCGTTACCAGGGGGAGGGTATGTGGGACTCGCCGGCCAAGAAGATGGAAAATGGCCGGAATACCCACTAAAAACCCAGCGGTGTTCCTTCTTTCGCCAGTGGCTGGGTCACGGGAACGCCTGAGCAATCTTCCGCGACCATATTTCTTAAGCCTACCCATAATGTTCCAACAACAATTATTTTATTTTTATATTCTAAAATCAGCTCACAACGCTAGAGTTCCAGTATTAAACACTGTTTCAGTTTTTTATGATAGTTGCGGATGTTTATGGCCAGCGTTCGTTACTATGTCGATGGATTCAGGTTGCCGCTAGCTCGTTTGCCACCTTATATTATAAAAAAAATCTAACATTATTCATTTTCTTTTATTTAATTTTTTAGTACACTTTTGAATTGCAATTAAGTAAAATTCTGAATACGTAGAAGTTAGTCTTTGGTCATACTAAAGTAATTATTTAAAAGATTTATGTCACAAGATATTAAAAAATTGCAAGAATAAAACAAGCAGCTGAGACTAACATAGTTTATGTTGCTATACACGTTTCTGTTAATACAGACAAATTGACAGACACACAAACGAGTGTACATATCGCTTTGGATCCGTACTAAAACAACGCCTCTACTTAAGACTTCGTATGACCACTTACGACTCATTTATTAAGAGATAAAGAATGGAACAGATTAAGTTATAATCTGACAGCGTTTTTGATCTATCTGCCGATACGTATGTACAAAAATATTGGCATCCTACTAATTATCTTTGAAATAAACGAAGACAATAATATAGGTTGTGAATTGCGGAAAGAAGTACCGTTGTGAACTGTGAATAAGTGGCTACCTAGAATATATTCACTTAGCGTTTTTGTGCACTAGTATGCTAGGGTGGTCGCGTAATGAATGCCATCTAAGTATATCGTTGAAGTTTATAACATACGCCCCAAGTTATGTAGTTTTATTCGCTTGAGGAATCGAGTTGTTAAGTCGCTTAAGTCTAATAGACACATCCTATTTGAGGGAATGCCAGTGCGACAGGACGCGCCTACGGTTTGTTTTACGCATTATTTATGGTAAACGAAACCGCTGTAATAAATTACGATCACACATCGCAGCATGTTACACACTTTTTGTTACCTATGTGATATTTTATTCGCGATGTTACCTCATTGATATTCGACTCAGACGATTAATATATTTTAATTTACTGATACTTATGTTTTTATCCGACATTATTAATTGCCATTTATTTATAATAGGCGCTTTGCGTAATCGTTGTTTAGTGCGAAAACATAAAGTAATTCAGTTGTAACTACTGTGATATTTATTCTTAAATACACACTATATCTATACTATTATAACAAAGCGTAAAAACACAATTCTCTGTTCCCTAAGATGTCAACAATTACAGTGTATTTTTAATAATACTCTTTTTTTTATAAAAAGCCCTACACTTACGTTACACTTTAGGCTATCTATTTTCACGCCATTAAACTTTGGGGGTAAGTATTTTGGATAAAAACCCTAATGTGGGAAAGAGACCATAAACTACAAGCTACCAACATCAAGGAATTTTGACATTTGACAAATGTAAACAATAAAATAAAGTGATTATAATTTCATGCGGATGAAGCCGCACTGGAAGACCTAGTTAATCAGGTATTTTAGTACAAATCGGTCTCAGAAGATTTTTGTAAAAAGTAATAGATAGGTCTTATAAACGATGTTCTAAAAACGCTTCATAAATCTGTCTCGTCTACTTACGACGTATTGCATGATAAATTATAAATGATTGTTGTTCTATTGCCCGTTAAGGACTCCAGTTTCTTGTTACAAATAGCCGCGGCTTGCGATTGTGTAATAGTAAACGCGGCGTTATTATGTTATATTGGCGCCATTACTGTTATTTTATTAGTTTTACTAATATAACAATAAGTAACAAATTCTTATAACTAACTAGAATAAGGTTGGAAGGGGCCTTTACACAAGGATTGATCCATATTTAAAAAAGAAATTGAATATAGTAGATTTACAATACTAATAACTATAATAAGGTGTGAAACTAACAATTACTAACACAATGAAATTTTAAACTCTATGTAAATATGGGAATAAAGAGGCTTATTATGTTTATTATTATAATTATTACTTACATTCATATTTCATTCATACTCACTAAATAATTCACAGAGAATCGTCTAACGGAGACTGGAATATGTCTTATTCAATAAATGTACACTAAGAGTCGTCTCTAGTGCAAATTGAATTGGTGTCAGACATCTGGCTAATTAGTATTATTTATAAACAGCTCTATGGTAATACGTGCGACTTAAAATTCCATATATGGTTAAGACAAATTGATTTCACAAAGCCTGTTTCCTAGTGCTACTGTTGGCGAACAAGATTCAATTCCGGTTAGTGATAAATACAGTAAACGAGTTTTAAACCGAATATTATGTAGATGTAAATATCATTTAACGAATTGACTAGAATAATATCAAAATATATTTCATTTTTAAACTGTTACTTTTTACTGACAATTAGCATTCGCCTGCGACTACGTCCAAGTGAAATTAAAAAACAATATAAAACATAGCCTATTTTACTCACTGACACTCTAGCTTTTTAATGGTGAAAAAATGTTTGAAATCGGCCTAGTAGTTTTTGAGTTATTTCATTACAATCAAACAAAGAAAGTTTTCCTCTTTATAATATTAGTATAGATAATGAATCATGCGGATATTGGATGGAAATAAGATTTGATTGTGTGTTTGCAATGAATAGGCTCCAAAACTATTGAACCGATTTCTTAAATTTGGCCACTTGAATGCTACATTATCAGTTTGTTAAATAGGTTATATTTACACCAACAGAAATATATATGGCAGAATAGTGCAAAGGTATGAAACTTGCTACTCAGGCGAAGTTAGGGCGGATCGCTAGTAGCTTGTTAAAGATTGTGACGGGAAAATTATGTGACACAAGACAATAGATAATATAAACTAGGGATGGGCTTGGAGATGAAATGCGCTGTTCTAATTAATAATAGAATTACAGATGCATAAGACTTTTATAGCACAAGGCGTTTTTATTGCTATTGATGCTATTTTATTGATTTTTCTGTTGTTTATGTTTAGAAGCCGTGGTTCAAAGTAACCGCTTCCTCTTTGGTCGTTTGAAAATGGATAATTTTGTAATAAATTAACAGAACCCGTTAAGTTGTAGAGATATTTAAAAGAGCGTCCATATCCGTTTAAGTGGAGTTATAAAAAATAATGTGATATCACTGAATATAACTATTACAGCCCACAACGGAACGAAGAATTCAAATTATAATATTTTCAAGTAAACCCGTTGAATAACTACGACGCGAGTTCGAAGAAAAAAAAATATTAACATGACATTAAATTGTATCTCTTCTGGTTATTAAAAGAACATTACGCATCGCTGTAATATGTCGGAAATTTCTGGGGGTAATTCGAAAATTTTCCATCCCACGATTATGTGGGTGGGTACTGCCAAAAACCACACCCAAAATCGTGTAATTTCGGTAACAAAAAACAATTCTTGGGCGGAGTCGAGATCTGTAATATGTGACCGCAAACGTAAGGTAAACGTACTAGAAGTTATACTTGAACCTTAAAGTTCGTGCACTAGGATTTATTTTTGTTTGACAGTTTGTTTCTTGTCCGCCTAAAAGGAAAGCAGATGGTATGGAACGGGTTGACTGCAATTGTAAGTAATTAGCTCCATTTTGTTCCTCTCGTAGGTATTTCATTTTTTTTTTCGAAGACGGTCGAGTGTTTTCTTTATAACTCTTATGTGGCATTTAGAGGTTTGCGTGATTTGTCAAGTGTAGAGGCGACAATCTATTTCTTAGAATTAATAAAATAATTTTCTATTAATTAGCTAGCGTTGTTATCCATATGTTTGTTATTATGGTAACGAAACAATAAATGTATTTGTAAACAATTATGAAAAAGAGTTTAAATGTTTTCTAGCTAATTTTCAGCCATTTTCTTTATCTACTGATACAAGAAAGATTGAAACCAAACTTTTCATAATGATAGCAGGATGGAGAGAAAAAGGTTTAAGAGGGTAGAGGATGCGTACTAGTTTGATATATTGTGCCATAATTTTTTTTCTATATTTAAAATTGTTATTTAGAATAAAGGGGTTGCGACATAAAATTTAGAATTTTACACGCTGAATTTAAGGCTATTGTCTTATCGTGTTTCACAATTTACAACAACCC